TCAGTTAAGAACTCATAATGTCAATCTCTAGAGAGAGAGAGAGAGACATGGAGGCAGGGGGGCACAATGTGTAATATTTGAAGTGTCACTAAGGCACCTCACACCTGATGGTCATGTGTGGTGTGACTAATATGCATTTGTAAAAGACCAGCTTCCTTCAGTTGACAGCAATGAAAGATGGATAGCCAGAACTCCAGTTGCTGTTTGATTAAAATTAATTTGTTGGTTACTAACTTTAACCTTAATGATGCTGCCAGTGATCTCACAAGTGCTAAGTCAGTACCGGAAAACACTCTTCCCTGTGGGAAACCTTTTACTAGAACAAAAACTGACAAATTAAGATATAATAAAACAGGCCAAAGAAATCAGAAGATGAACGGTAAATTTACATATGTATAAACAAAGGTGGACAAAAGATATGCTGCCACATATGGTTAACAGGCATAAAGATTAAAGGAATAATTGCTAACAACCATACCCTATTAACCCTTAAACTGTCCAAATGTAGATCTATGTTTGCGCACGTAGCGCTCCGACCTTGATTTTCTCCACAAGAAACAATGTAAAAAAAACGCAGATCTACGTTTGGAGCGCTACGCGAGCAAACGTAGATCTACGTTTGGACAGTTTAAGGGTTAAAGGAGACTGTTGAGAGAGATACAACTGTTATTGTTATAGGCTATTCTCAGACATAAATAAGTATACTCACAAAATGTTTTGACACTTTTAACAGTAAGAATTAATCAGCACTTTGTAAACAAATTTGAAAATATGAGAGATAAGACAAGACCAAAACACTTAACGCTTGCTCACATTAAGCATAAGAATGAACCACTAGGAAGAATCAAGGTTAAAAGGAAACAATAATGCTTTACTGTGTAAAGACAAGTCAAATAAAGACCTATCAAATGTGAAAGCTTAAATAAGGAATATAACGGATTGCCAAAAGTCAAAGTACATATATGAATGGTAAAATGTAGAAATGAGCTGTTTCACAACATACATTAGATCAAAATTTAAATAAGTAGCAAAAGTGTGGTGTTAGCACCTTAAAACATATACAGCAAATAAGACATAAAAAATAATTGCCAAGACATGCTATAAAATGACTCCCACAGCCAAGAAACCCCAGTTACAATGAAAGACTGAAACCACTACAAATGCTTCCATTGTTTGATTAAAGGAGAGAAGAAAACATGGTAACCATATTTAATATCATTAAAAAATTACAAGAAAATAAATAAAAAATAAAGATGATGTCCTAGCAACATCAAGAGCAAGAATAAGATGCTGCAATTGGGAAGTGAGAGAAAAACAGTGGCAAAAGGATACTAGAAAGTTCTTGATAAGTAAGAGTGGTGTAGTACTGGAATGAGACTCTAGAGGAGGTAGTATATGCTGCAACCACTGGTAACAAAAATATTATTTGACAAACAAAACACTGAAAATAAAGGTCTGCTCTTGTTACTACAAACAGTTACTGTATTCACATATTATATTTCACAAAGATGTGATTTCACGTACAAGTATTCCTCGCTCAACAGTTTGTTTCGAGACAATTAAGTAATGATATATAACTTACTGGCTACCCTGTTTTGTAAACAATGTGCTCCTGGGGTGGAGAAATGGGAAGAAATGGAAGCCAGTCTTGCAAGCAGGATGATGTGAATGGTGTGGAAGATAAGGGTAAACTCACTACTAAGCTTTTATTATTTTGCAAATAAGACACCTCCTGTAATGCTTTCAATGCATTTTACCTTATCACTTAAAGCTCCGAAACAGCTTTAAGTGATAAGGATTGTAGTGTGGCAAAGGTTAATGGAAATAAGCATTACTTTAAATACTAAAATCATTACTTTTTTTACTCTCATTCATGGTACAATATACTAACTATGTTCAAAGTGACTTTCATCAGTGTTCCTTCCCAAGATGATAGTTAAAATAAGGAGATACACAAACCTTCCCCTCCCTCTTCCACTCTTTAACACCCAATGCCTTCACAACTTTCCTATAGTCATTATGTTAACAAGCTGACCATCAATGGTGAGCAATTCTAGTGTAATTAGTGTATTATTTTTGAGAAGGGAGTTGTTAAACCATGAAGCTCAGTCCTTGTACTGTATACAAGCTGCTGTGATTACCTATTTGTGGCTACAAGAGCAGAGCTAAGTTCTTGGTGTTCCATCTTCATTTAATCAATAATAAATATTTATTTTTAAATTCTAGTTATAATAGTACTTACTACTCACTCTTGTAACCCATTCTATTGCTGTGCCACTATGTTTAACCCTTAAATGGTCCAAACGTATATATATATGTTCTCTTGCACAGCGCCCCGAATATTTTGAAAAAAAAAAAAATAAAGATTTTTATAGAAAAAAAAGAGCACATTTTTTTAAGTTTTAGAATAAAAAAAAAATTAGGGTCAGTACTTACAGAGATATGAAGCCAAGAAGTTGGCACTGGATGCTCATGTGACAGCAACATCGAGTCCTACCACTTGCAGAAGTGTTGCTGATATACCTTTTTTTCAAATTTTCATAATATTTTATATAGTTTTTATGTTCTGATAATTGCAATTCATAGTAGTTCTTGTCATTTCATAACCAATCTTTGTTCTGACACTAGTATTAGGTACTGAAATTGTACTCAAATTGTCACAAACACACTGACAGGTGGACATTAACACCTGCCTTGGCCATTTACTATTGCTTGGAATATATACAAAGTATTTATGTGTCCCAACAATGTTTTGGATATGTGGAAGTATATAATAATAATGAGGAAGAGGAGGAGGAGGAAAAGAAGGGGGAGGGAGGGAGGAAGAGGAGGAGAAAAGAATACGTAACAATAATAATTGGGGGGGAGGAGAAGGGGAAGGAAGGAAGGGAGGGGAGGAAAAGGGGAGGAGGGGAGGAGGGGAGGGAAGGGGGGGATGGAGGATAGGGGATGGGGGGGGGGGGGGGGGGGGGGGGGGGGGGGGGGAGGGAGGGAGGGAAGGGAGGGAGGAGGGAGGAGGGAGGGAGGGAGGGGGGGGGTAGGGGAGTGGGGGGAGTGAGGGGGGGAGGTAGGGAGGGAGGTGAGGAGGGAGGTGAGGGAGGGGAGGTGAGGAGGGAGGTGAAAAGGAGGGAGGTGAGGGGGGGAGGTGAGGAGGGGGAGGGAGGAGGGGAGGGAGGGGAGGGAGGAGGGAGGAGGGGGAGGGAGGAGGGGGAAGAGGGAGGGAGGGGGGGAGGAGGAGGGGGGAGGGAGGGTGGTGGGGGGAGGGTGGGAGGGAGGGAGGGGGGGTATAGGGGGGGGGAGGTGGGGGGAGGGGGGGAGGAGGTTCTTTAGGATGGGGGGGAGGGGGCGTTCTGGGTGCTGTGCGTTGGGGAGTGTGCGTTTCGGAGTTCTTGGGGGTTGGCGGTTTTGGTGATTTAGCTGGGGTCTTGGGGCGTTCTTTCTTATGTGCTTTTGCGCTTGTTGTGGTGTTTTGTCTTTGGGCTTTATCTGTTCGGGTGGCTTCGGGTTTTTCATTGTTTTGTCTTTCGTTTCTTCTGTGTCGTTAGTTTCCCTGCCTGAAAAACAAATCCCCCCTGACAGTGACATGATCCCATGATATACCATTTGATGGCTGACCGTTGTGAGCAAATGCAGGGTGCAGTACTAAACTGAATTAGAAAAGATTAGAGTGACATTTGATGAGCATCAATTCCGCCCCGCTTTGGTTTCCCCCCGGTACCAAAACAACAAAAGCTGCTATTTCGTACCCCCCTCCAAGCTTCTGTCTGACAGTCCTATTCTATCTAGCTCTCTGTCCAGAGAGAGCCACAGACGCAACATCTTGATCACCTTCAAGCAAGTATAGCACTTGTCTAATTTTTTTTGTTCCTAGGTAATTTACCTATGAACTTGTATTTATGTGTACCGTGAGACAGAGATAGATAGACAGATTAAAGAGAAAAGATAGATAGAGACCGAGGCAGATAGACAGAGATACAGATAGACAAACCCTAAACTTGGGGGTTAACATCACTTTCCTCTTAAAAGAGGGGTGTTAAATAACATTAAAAATCATGAATCCTTTGGGGATTGCCACACTGTTTGCTCTAGCTGGCGCTCAATTTAACTGGCGCTCCCACAAGGTACTAAGTGGTCCCAGATTTTTTTAATATGGTGCACACTGAGTGTTAAGACCCATTCTCAATTTGCACCAGGCAACCCCAGGGCAATTGTGCCAAATTTGGAGGCAGGAAAAAAATTTAAACGTATATATATGTTGGGGAGCAATGCGTAAGACGTATATATACGTTTGGACCGTTTAGGGGTTAAAAGAAACTTTTCAATACCCTTGTGGCACTGCTTGATATTTAGTTTACAACTGGGGCTTCTTGTTCTGCCTCTTGATGTATTTGTGATGCTTCCCAAATACTGTATTATGATTTCAATAGTAAGAATATATTGGGCTTTATATTCCAAGGGATGCATCTCTTTATTCCATAATATGTACCCACTCACTGAGTATACATCAGAATGCTTCCCTGGCAATTTAACCCAAACAAATACAATAAGAAACAATAAGAACAAAAATATTATCTTGTTTTCATATACATATGTATCAGTTAAACTGTATTTTTCCACACTATTTTTTTTTGGGTCATTTTCTACCAAAACTATCTTCCTCTTTTCACTTGGAAAAAAGGTTATCTATATACTACATTCATACACCAATCAGTTTGAGCACATTTAACCCATGTTCCATTCACTCATTTTCTATTTCAACTTGACGTATGATCATACACTCATTTTGATGACATTTTAAAAGCATTTTTTAATAGTTTCATTTCAAAATTCAATTATTACTTGAATCCTTAGTATACATTAAATTTACTGGGCTTTATTAATGCTAACAATTAATATTCTATTTCCTCTAGAATATAATCCATAATTCAGAAACAATAAGTTTTATTTTACTTTTCTTTTTCTTTAAAAAATAGTTACACAATTACCATCTGCTTAATTACCTTCTCCAATGATTTGAGAACCTTATCCGGCATGTGGTCTTGGATCATACATGGTGAAATGAGCACCTCATCGAAGTCTTCATTGTCTCTCCACACTGCCTGGTACACTGGCTGAGGTCTTCGCAGCCACCGTCTAAAGGAGACATCATAGTCAGCTTTGCCAAAAGCATGATAAGGAAGGGAGAAGGGGGAAAAAAAAGAGGCAGATCAAATGATAAGTAAAAACAAGTAAAATGAAAATTTGAATATGAGATACGATGTGGAAAAGAAAAATCAGCAAACAATACAATAAAATACAGAATGGCTTGGAATAGACTCTGAAAATGATGTAGAGGAAAGTTCTGATACTAATTCATGTAACCTGTTAAACTAGAGATACCTGTACCTATGCAATATCAATCAATAAACAAGAGAGAATTTAGCAAGTGACTAAAGTACATATACTCACTTGAATCAAAATATTCAAATTGTGTTTTTTCTTTATTCCCCTTTCTAAACAATCTTGTTAGCATTCACTTCCATTTTCATAAACTGTATTCCTAAATAATGTATTATCAACTTAAATAATTAACTCAATCAAGAAAATGTAAAGTGAAAGCCATAAAACATAAATACAAAAGTGTGAATATTAATCTAAGAAATATTGAAAATTAAATGAAGGGGTCAATAAATTAACTAAAAGTACTGTAAATTATTTTTGTGCAGAATACATAAAAAAAAAAAAAACAGCAACAAGAAGAGCAATTCAAAGAATGAAGCTCAAAATTAAATCAGTAAGTCAAGCAACTGCAAAGCAAAAACCATGTAAAAAAAAGAAAAACATGTAGGGTCTAGAACACATGTATGAGACATTGCACTCATAAGAGGCAATGCAAAAGAAACAAACTTTGTTACCTGTATTCCGTCAAGTGCTGAAAGCTTATACTGGTAATACTTTTACTTGCACTGAAACAGCAGTTTACTCTAGGATACTTTTAGTGCTTCATGCTCATCTTCAATTACATACTTTCTAACGTTCTACAATACTGTATAAAGAATGAACAACAAATACTAGTCCTTTACACATATTATATGAATGATTTGGAGAAAAGAACAATGCCTGCACTTTAAAGGAGGGGTTTGGGATATTGGCAGTTTGGAGGGATATGTTGTGTATCTTTATACGTATATGCTTCTAAGCTGTTGTATTCTGAGCACCTCTGCAAAAGCAGTGATAATGTGTGAGTGTGGTGAAAGTGTTGAATGATGATGAAAGTATTTTCTTTTTGAGGATTTTCTTTCTTTTTTGGGTCACCCTGCCTCGGTGGGAGACGGCAGACTTGTTGAAAAAATATATATATTTTAATATATATAATATAAAATAAATATATATATATATATATATATAAATATATATATATATAAAAATATATAATAATTATATATATACCGAGTAGTAGGTTGGTAGACAGCAACCGCCCAGAGAGGTACTACCGTATTGCCAAGTGAGTGTAAAACGAAAGCATGTAATTGTTTTACATGATGGTAGGATTGCTGGTGTCCTTTTTTCTGTCTCATGAACATGCAAGATTTCAGGTACGTCTTGCTACTTCTACTTACACTTAGGTCACACTACACATACACGTACAAGCGTATATGCATCATTGTCGTTTTTTTCTGAAAAGAGCATACCGAATTTGTAGTTGTGAGTTTCTTGACAAGATATGTACATACAGTCACCAAACCTTCACTGATTTACATTTTCCTTCCTTTTTCATCAAAGATTGCAAGAAAAGAGATCTTCAGATCATTAATTCTCCATGCACCATCACTCCTGACAAAATTATAATTCTTCCCAACAGCCAGGTTGCATTGAACGTTTCTAAAGTACTTTCACAAGCTAACACTAGAGTCACCATCGCTTCCAGTACTTCAATAAAGGATCTAACCAGGACACCACGCAAGCACCATGAACCAGTCAATGCAGGGGTTTACACTATACCCTGTGGAGGCTGCAACAAGATTTATGTAGATGAAACAGCAAAAAACCTCAACACCCACCTCAATGAACACATTTATGCATGTAGGAATGATAACTTGAACAACGTATGCATTCAACACCAAAATTCCACCAATCATCTCATGAAATTCAGGGGCATCCAATTAGTGATCAAAGAAACTAATTTCTGCAGACGCAAGTGCCTTGAATCATCACTAATTGCTGTTTCTAATACAATTATAAAAAACGAAGGCAGCTTCACCATTTCTGAAGTCTTAGGAAAAATCCTCCTGAAAACAGTAAACCCTGCCATCACATAGTCTCTCCTGCTAATGCTGCACAAGTACATTACAGAGGATGAACACTGGAACAAAGGCCTTCTCTAATTCAACCTCCAATAGAAATATTTGTCTAACCTATTATTTTTATGCTACCAAGTAATAGCTTTTATATCCTTTTACTCATGTGCACGTTAAATGTTCTACCATATTGTATCAATACTACTACTACTACCACTAGCATTACACCTCACTCTAAGCCTATATATACCCCTCTGTGTCCATGTATTGTTTGTAATGGCTTGACAAAGCTCCTGGAGAGTGAAACATTGCCACAATAAAATCTCACATTAGTTGCACTTGTGTCCTTTTATTTTACACATTGTCGGTAATTCTACCAACATATGTAAAAAAATAATGTGGCAGAGTAGAACAGTGGTGCCAGCACTGTATAGGTGTTTGGAATGCTGCAGCACGGAGTAGGCAAGAGCCAATAGGAATGCTATGTTTAAGAACAATGTTTTGTGTGAATAATGAGCATGCAAATCAGACTAATCCGACTAACCCATACGAAGTCTCCCTTATTATCAACGCACTAAAAAACAAGGCAGGAGATTTAAATACCTTACCACCCTTTATATACAAAAAAAGTGTCACAAGTGCTATCACCAATCATTGCAACACTCTTTAACAAATCCATTGAATCCTCCACCTTCCCTACAGTACTCAAAATAGCAAGGGTCACCCCGATTCACAAAGGAGGAGACCAAACGGGAGTTAAAAAACTATAGGCCAATACCCAACTTTTTACCCCCTAAAAAAATCTTAAAATTTTTAAATTCAAAAACGAATCTACTCCTACCTTACCCCCCAAAACCCATATAAACCCCCTCCCAATTTTGGTTTCAGGCCAAAATAAAAATACAAAATGAGCTATTAAACATGCTAAAAAAATTTTTACACTGCAAAAGAAAAAAAGAAGCCCCCACGGGGGGATCTTCTTTTGACTTACGAAAAGTTTTTAAAAATAAAATTTGACCATGATTTTTGCTCCACGGAAAATTGCCCACACTATGGTATAAGGGGGGACTCCCAATTTACCCAAGTCAAAAACCTCAGCAACAGAACCAAAAATTTTAAAGAAAAAGGGGGGAAAACTTTTCTGCGAAAACCAATTACGGGTTGGTGTCCCACGGGGAGTGCCCCGGGCCCTTTTTCCTCTTTCCCCTATACATAAATGCCCTTTCCCAAAATTTGCTTCGCAATTACCAAACCCCACTATTTGAAATTGACACTACAACTCTTCTCCCCACCCGGAGCCCAGTCCGCTAGCCAATACTGAAAAAACCCAAATTTACAAAAAATACCCTACCGGGAGGGGAAACTAAAAAAACTTACACTAAACATTTGAAAAAACCTACTTCATTCAGGGTTTTTTAACAGAGCTACGTTTTCCCCCTTAACATTTTGAAAACGGATCACCTATCAAAAAAAACTAACAAAGGGGGGAAAATTTTTAGGGAAACCAAACCTTTATAATTTGACTCAAATTTTAAAACACATAAACAACAAATTTCTAAGAAAATTTTTCCAAAACTGTAGGGATACTATCGAAGATCGGTAATGTTTTCCCCAAATCAGCCCCCCTGGCCCCAATCCTCCTTAAATTTAAAACCCCCATCTCCCTATGGGAAATTTTTGCATTGGGGGTCAACAAAAAATTAAAACCCTCTCAGACCATAATTTCTCAACAAAAAGGCCCGCAGTTTTGAATGGTAACCCAAATTTTTTCACTAAAAGGGGCCCCACTCCCAAACCAAAATTTTTAAAACACTAAGCCCACTCACCATACCCAAAAATCCAAAATTATTACTGCACCTTTACATACATAAAACCCCTTAAATCTTATTAACCCTCCCCTCAAAACATCTCCTTTCCAACCCCAAAAAGAACCAAAAGACCCTAAACCCCAAAGGGACGATCAATCTTTGATTTTTCCCCCGTTCCATCTCACACATGCAAAAAAATCAAAAGCACATAAAGGCCCTAAAAATCGGGAATTTATTACCTGTAAAATTTTAAAAGAAAAACCCAAAATGTTTATTTAAAATTTAAGTCTCTTCTCAAAGTCCTTACTCAAACCCCAAAACCCAAATAAAACTGAAAAACGAAACCCCTTAAAAAATTGTATATCTTAAACGTTTTTCCAATTATAAACACATAAAAAGTTAAAACCCAAAAAAGAATCTAATTTATTAAATTTTTTTAAAAACACTTTCCAACAAATCAACCCCCAACTGAATGCAACCATATGACCTTTTCTTTGTAAAACTCACTTGTGCTTATTAATTGTTTACATAAAAGTTTTTTCACGAATTTTATCAAATTTCTTATTAATTTTTAAGTTAAAAAATTTTAAACCAGCCCGGGAATGCTATGCATAGTAAAAGTGGCTTTGGCATGCTGCTCTTATCTGTATTTTTTTGTACCTCTGTATGTGTGCTCAAATTGGAAATAAATAAATAAATAAAATAAATGTGAACCCTCTCCAAGATACGAAACTACGTGCCGCAATCTGCCCTTCTCACACTATACCATTCACTCATTTATCCATACCTCACCTATGCTATTTGTGCTTGGGGATCAACTGCAGCAACACACCTAAAGCCAATAATAACCCAACAAAAAGCCGCAGTAAGAATAATCACACAATCCCATCCCAGGCGACACCCCCCACTCTTCATAGATCTAAACTTACTCACTGTTCAGCACATCCACACTTACTACTGTGCAATCTACATCTACAGGACCTTAAATTCCAATAATAACCCAGACCTAAAATGCTTTCTTGATAGTTGTGACAGGACCCACAGGCAT